ATAATAAATACTGCTTCACACCCATTCTAAGGTTAAAATTTAAAAGACTGACAGTTTCAAAACTGGTACAATCACTATGGAGAACATGATGCAGATTCCTAATAGAAACTAAAAATAGAACTACCATATGATCCAGCAATCCTACTGCTGGGCATACATCCAGGAAAAGACAATTTGAAAGGTTAGATGCACCTCAGATGTTCATTGGAACACTGTTTACAATAGCCAAGACATGAAAGCAAGCAAAACGTCCATTGACAGATGAATGGGTAAAGAAGATATGGTACATACATACAATGGAATATTACTCAACCATAAAAATGAAGGAAACTGTGCCATTTGCAGTGACATGGATGGACCTAGAGATTATCATACTAAGTGAAGCAAGTCAGACAAAGACAAATAAATATCATAGGATATCACTTACTTGTGAAATCTTAAAACATGGTACAAATGAACTTACATACAAGAACAGGAGTCACAGCTGTAGAAAACAAATGATGGTTACCAAGGGGAGAGTGGAGGGAGGGATAATCTGGGAGATTGGTACTGAGATATACAGACGCTGTATGAAATAGATGACTAGTGAGGCCTTACTGTATAGCACAGGGAACTCTACTCAGTACTCTCTAAGCTATATAGGAGAAGGATCTGAAAAGGAGAGGAGATACACACACACACATATACGTGATTATTCACTTTTCTGTGCAGCAGAAATCAACACCGCATTGTAAACCAGTTCAGTCGCTCAGTCGTGTCCAACTCTTTGTGACCGCATGGGCTGCAGCATGCCAGGCTGTCCATCACCAACTCCCGGAGCTTGTGCAAACTCACATCCATCGAGTTGGTAATGCCATCCAACCATCTCATCCTCTGTCGTCCCCTTCTCCTCCCGCCTTCAGTCTTTCCCATCATCAGGGTCTTTTCCAATGAGTCAGTTCACATCAGGGGCCAAATTACTGGAGTTTCAGCTTCAGCATCAGTCCTTCCAATGAATGTTCAGGACTGATCTCCTTTAGGATGAACTGCTTGGATCTCCTTGCAGTCCAATGGACTCTCAAGAGTCTTCTCCAACACCACAGTTCAAAAGCATCAATTCTTCAGCACTCAGCTTGTAACTGGGTTACAGGCTCTTACTCATTTTTGTTTACTCTATAGCACCTTCCCTGGTGGAAGGGCTTCACTGGTGGCTCAGAGCGTCTGCCCACAATGCTGGAGACCCGGGTTCGATCCCTCGGTCGGGAAGATCCCCTGGAGAAGAAAATGGCAACCCACTCCAGTATTCTTGCCTGGAGAATCCCATGGAGGGACGAGCCTGGTAGGCTACAGTCCACGGGGTCGCAAAGAGTTAGACACGACTGAGCTACTTCACTTTCACTTTCATAGCACCTTGCTTATTGTATCCTTTCAATACATGTTTGTTAAACTGAGCTAATTTAATGCAAAGACAGAGTTACCAGCTATTACTTTGTTATAATTCTAAAGTCTGAAAAGAATCATAGTCATAGATCTTAGCAAGACAAGACTAACGGGTAGGTAAGAGTCAAAATTAGGCATCTTTAGGACAGTCCTAATTTTACACTTAAGGGCAATCCCATTTTATATTCTGTGGTGGTGGCAGCACACACAGAGAAGATGGGTGCTCCTCGGCCCCGTGGGACATTGTCTTTAAGGCAAGACACTGAGTTGGTTGCAGAAGTCTGGAGGATTTAGGTTATGTAGGGTTAACTAATAGTGTATTTGATTCCAGTAATGAATGAAAAGTTGATAGAATCACAGAAACTCCATGCTAGAAGGTGCCATAGATACCACTTAATCCAATTCATTATTAAACAGACCCAGAGAGGATAAATAACCTGCCCTTTGGCACATAACAAATATAGATAGGGTTAAGACTGGAACCCAGGTTTCTGACAAAATTGGTACCAAAAATTTAATGAAGTGGAGAATGACTGCCTATGGAAGTTCTAGTGAGTTGACCTTAGAAAAAGCTTCCATTAGGTTTGTATTTGAGGTTAAGAAGCAAACAGAATAGAAATAAGAGTCAGCTGTCATTACCAAGATAGAATCAAAACTGAACCATGAGTAGGGCCAAGAGTTGACTTGTATGTTCCTGGTGATGTCTTTGCTTCATTTATCACCAAGAGGTCTGATTTCATTTGTAACTTACACCTATTTTGTGTACTTGTTGGCAAATTTTCTACAGTAAGAATATTCTGTAGCTTGTTGAGGAGGAGTTAGTATATAACCTGGATATTGTTGAATTCCACGGGTATGTTAAAACAATCTAAATGGAGCTGATCTCTCTCATAAACCTTCCCTTTTTTCAATATTCCCTCTTCATGTGTAAATTTATTGGGGTTTGGGGCTGCTATTTTGCATTTCCTTGGTTTAGGAGTTCATTTTTTTAAGGACAGTATTAAGTCAATTTTGTAATTAGTGATTTTTAATGGTCATTTTGAGTTTTAATGATGAAGGACATTGAGGAACAAAGGGCAGCTTTGAAAGTTAGAACAGAGCATGCTCCTTAGATGAATCTTGAATGAAAGAATAACAGCATGGTTGGTGATGAAGGAATAGAAGCTGCGACTATTTAATGTATTCTCCACTCTCAATATATGGATGCAGCCTCCAAATTTTATAAAGGAAATAATCATCAGCACAGCATCTCTGCTTTCCTATGGATTGGTCTTTTTGTAAAGCAGCCTCTTGGTTTTCTTAGTAAAAGTATTTTATTTTAAAATATATCTCTAAAAAAATAAAATAAAAAAATAAAATATATCTCTAGACACTTACTCCTGTTTCAGTTCAGTTCAGCCGCTCAGTCATGTCCGATCCTCTGTGACCCCATGAACCGCAGCACCCCAGGCCTCCCTGTCCATCACCAACTCCCAGAGTCCATCCAAACCCACATCCATTGAGTCAGTGATGCCTTCCAACCATCTCATCCTCTGTCGTCCCCTTCTCCTCCCGCCCTCAATCTTTCCCAGCATCAGGGTCTTTTCAAATGAGTCAGCTCTCCGCATCAGGTGGCCAAAGTATTGAAGTTTCAGCTTCAACATCAGTCCTTCCAGTGAATACCCAGGACTGATCTCCTTTAGGATGGACCGGTTGGATCACCTTCCAGTCCAAGGGACTCTTAAGAGTCTTCTCCAACACCACAGTTCAAAAGCATCAATTCTTTGGCACTCAGCTTTCTTTATAGTCCAACTCTCACATCCAGACATGACTACTGGAAAAACCATAACCTTGACTAGACAGACCTTTGTTGGTAAAGTAATGGCTCTGCTTTTTAATATGCTGTCTAGGTTGGTAACTTTCCTTCCAAGGAGCAAACATCTTTTAATTTTATGACTGCAGTCACCATCTGCAGTGATTTTGGAGTCCAGAAAAATAAAGTCAGCCACTGTTTCCCCATCTAATTACCATGAAGTGATGGGACTGGATGCCATGATCTTAGTTTTTTCTGAATGTTGAGTTTTAAGCCAACTTTTTCACTCTCCTCTTTCACGTTCATCAAGAGGCTCTTTAGTTCTTCTTCATTTTCTGCCATAAGGGTGGTCCTGGGGAAAAATATGGGCTTCCCTGGTGGCTCAGAGGGTAAAGTGTCTGCCTACAATGCGGGAGACCCGGGTTCGATCCGTGGATTGGGAAGATCCTTTGGAGAAGGAAATGGCAACCCACTCCAGTATTCTTGCCTGGAAAATGCCATGGACGGAGAAGCCTGGTAGATTACAGTTTCCATAGGGTCGCAAAGAGTCAGACATGACTGAGCAACTTCACTTTCTTTCTGGGAAAATGTAGATTACTTCATGTCTCTTCAGAATTCCTTTCAAAGAATAGTCAAGATCTATTTATTTGTTTGTTTTGAGATAGAGAAGAAGTGTAGATAGGAGAAAGGAGGAAATCTTAACTTTGCTTTAGGGGAAGAAAAAAATCTTTCAATCCTTTGTTGACACCTTAGCTTCTGCATTAGTCATATGTCCCTTCCTCCTTGGCCATGGGTGGACCAAGGGAATAGCAGCCATTTGCAAATTTGTAAAGGGGCAGTGCATGGAGAAGAAAACAGCTGATAAAAGAAAAGGTAGAGCTCCCCACCCCGCTAGGTTTTTACAGTTGTATTTTTAAACCAATCACCAGCTGCTAGATATTTGACCTCTCTTATTTCACTATTTTTGATGTTGTAAAATACAGTGCTAAATTCCTAGCTCTAATCATGAGATAATATTCAGAGTCCAACTTTTAAAAATATTACAGTGAAAGTCAACTACAGTGAGAAGGTGGTGGACACAGTTAATACTGATATTGGAAGGAAAAACCTTTCTTCTGCCTACTTGGGTCTGAATGGTGGGGAGGCCTGCGAATGAACTGAGAGTAGAGAGAGTAACAGGAGAAAAGACCAAAGGTGGGAGCACTCAGTACTGAGTAACTTGCTGAAGGGTGAAAGTTTGTATACCAGCGTAACAGAAGGGAGAATTTAGAGCTTCCAAAGACAGAAGGTTGTGATGTGCTTCTTTACACAGTTTTGGAGGAATGTCCTGGTACCCACGGTCAGTGACTCCTGATTAGAGACCTCTGAGTTGGGGAAAGGGGCTGTGGCAGCTAGCTCATGAAACAGGCTTTAGTCAGATAAGGGAAGTTCAGATAAGATTTCTTTTTTGCACCTGCTGTTGGGTTTTTGGTCCCTTCAGAGGTTTACAGTTTGATGATGTTCAAAGCATTTTCACATATCTCATCTGATTTCGCACATCTCATCTGATTTTTTAGGTACACTATACAGGGAAAATACCATTACTCCCATTTCACAGGTAAGGAAACTGAGATTAAGAGAGTTTAAGTATTTTCAGAGCCACAGAAGTAGTAACAGAGTCAAGATGTTAAGGGATTTACATTTCTCATTACACCTTTGTAGTTCAATATCAGTACTAACAGAGTAATTATTGTCAATCAAGTGCTTTAAAGGTGTAAAGATTGAGTAACATATTTTATTTGTTTTGTAGGAGAAGATGATGTGAACTGGTTCATCAGTGACAAAGACATTGAGGTAAAATCATAGTTGTGAATAATAGATTAATAATTTCCTTTGATTCGTAGTTTCCTTTCACTTCATTGTGATGACTTAATAAGCTTTTTAAATGTAGCAGCAGTCCAAGTATCTTGTAAGAAGAAGTTTAATTTTAGTTTATGGGTGGTTGAATTTTTCAGAAGCATGGTTAAGCCTTGATTTTCTCCAGTCAGTTAATTGCCATAATGATTTAGTCCCCTTTCCCTTTTGCTTCTTCTCTGCTGTGATGAGTCCTCTCAGCCCATTTTGCCTGGTACCACTAGAGATCAACACCGGAAATAACTGCTGCTTCAGTGTAAGGAAATGGTTAGTCTATATTTAGGATGTGGCAGGTGTTTGTCTTTCTCAATTATTAGCCTTAATTGTGACAGATGGCTCGAAAAGAGAATAATTGTACAATTTGGTATAAGGAAAGTTTTAAGAGATAATTACATTGTGTCTCCTTTTGAGACCTACTTGGCTAATTCAGTAGGATAATAAATGAAACATGAACTTTTTTTCAAAAATTAAACCAAACAAGATAAAAGCATGGTTGACATTTAGTTTTTCCTCTTTAGATAGTCCATATGATATGTTTTGCTAATACTCTCTTGCATGATATTGGATTTTGGCTAGAATATGGGACATCTAGAATTGGATCAGTGTAGGAAGAATAGATCTTAAAAGGACTCTAGGGGGAGGACATTATCTTTTTCTCTCTTAGAAGTTAAAATCCAGTTTGTAGGGATTAACCCTGGGCTGTTCAAAAGAAGGAATGTATTTGGTGACTCTGTGGTTTTATAACTTTGTAAAGGGCAAAATCATTAAAAACACCAACCCCTAACTAAAAATTTAGGCAAGCTTCTCATTCATAAAAATGTGGTATACATTCAGATATATGTCAGCAATATCTTTGACTCTGAATGCCACTGTAATGTCTAAATGATGCGTCCAGCGCCCTTACTAGACCTGAACTATAAGCAGAGAAAGAGATAAAAAAAGAAATGGAATCACATGGAGAAGTGTAAAAGAATACAAGAGATGGGCAGACAAAAAGTAGAGTTGTCTTCGTGGTACCCTTTTAAATTTTTCTAACTCCTTTAAGAACATAAAGTTCCCTGTTGCTCGCTTCTAAATTGAACAGATTATGATTGTTAATTTTGCTGCACAGAGTGAAATAATTTTAATCCTTGATCTTTTTTTCCCTTAGGCACAGATAGGTAGTAGAAGATCATCTGGAAGATGGACCCATCGATACTATACAGCCAACAAAAATGTTACCTGTAGAAATTGTGACAAATGTGGCCATTTATCAAAAAACTGCCCCCTCCCACAAGTATGTGAAATAAATGTTTCTTTCCATATTGTTAAAGTAGTAGAGTTGGAACCCTTAATACCTTCGAATTCAAATGTTATGTAATATATGGGTTACATTTCATGTTAAATGTTCGTGTGGGTCACAGCCTCCAGTAGTAGTAAGGGTAATAAGTCTCCAGCCAGAATCAGTTTCAGTACCCACTTAGTAGCTGTACACCCTTAGGCAAATCATTCCACCTTTTGTGTTTCTCTTTTCTTTCCTATAAAATGAGGAGGTTGAATCAGATTCTTGAGACTCATTTTTAGTTCTAAGTCTTCTACTTTATGACACAGCTTGTTTCATTGTGGGATAATTTTCATTGCTAGAAAGCTATAATTTTAGGCATTTATAAATGTTTATCGATGTAAATTATGTTCAGTAGATACATTAACCTTTGAAATAACACAGAACTTTTAGACATTTCTTGACCTCCTGAGCCCTTAACAGATATTTCATCCCTTACCTACTCCCTCTTCCAAATGATTGTCTTTCAGGTATTTGAGGTGGCTCTCTTGTTTCCTCTTATATCTTTGTTTTTTCAGGCAAAGCAAGCTCTTTCTGTATCTTTCTCCTATGACTTAGCTTCCAGATCTTCATCATGCTACTATCTATCTTAGATACATTCGACTTTGTCAGTATTCTACAAAACAAGGCATAAGAATAGATGCCAGCTAATAGTATACATGCAGACTAAGCCTTTGTGGCAACCACAGGATACAGGTGGCTTTTGTTAAGACTCTTAACTTAAGATATTTTGTTGGATTTTACAATTATGTTTGATTTGACCTTCATTGGGTTCCCAAATGGAAATAATTTTTTAAGCAGTTATACTGAAAAAGAAGTATTCTATCTGAGACTGAAGCATTTTGCTAAAGAGGTTTTTCTGTTTGTCTGTCACGTAGAAAGTCCGCCCCTGCTGCCTCTGTTCCGAGAGAGGGCACCTCCAGTATGCCTGTCCGGCCCGCTTTTGCTTAGGCTGTTCTTTGCCTATGTCTTCCACTCACAGATGTCTTGAAAGAGCTTCCTGGAGAAAACGCTGTGACCGATGTGATATGATAGGCCACTATGCTGATGTGAGTATCTAGCAAATGACTAATTTGTCAGGCTTTGGGGGCATCATGCCAATTTGTATCCATCTGCCAGCCTACTTAAAAGAATGTTTGCTCTGTGTATAATAATAGTCAATGTCCCTTTGGCCACAGATCATGTAAATCAGTACTATAATATCTCAGGATAGGGATCCTACTGAATGGTTCATCCAGAAGCAGCATCAACAAAAACTGTAAACCTGTGCTAGCCTCTCTGGCATAATGTGTTTTTTAAAGTAAAGGTTCAAATTAAAGAGGTATGTAATAAAAAAACATGTAAAATTGATGCACCTGTTCATAGTTAGATGAAATACATATATATAAATACTTAACAGTTGTATACAAAGGTCTGTGTGAAGCCTGCTTATTGATGGCTCTTGGTGGTACAATAGTCTAATGCAAGAAAGGCAAGCCACCAACACTTTAAATCTGCTTATCTTAGATCTTTCATTATATTTTAAAAGACAGAGTAACTTATAAGATATTTCAATTACTTTAGCACATTGTTATTTTAGATGTCATTTTGTGTCATGTTATAAATGTCTGTGGGGTTTTAGTCACAATTTCAGCCAGAAGGGCTATAGAATTAAGTTTGCCCTCACAAAAAGTAGGAACCTTTTCCTTTAATTTGTTCTTCCCAAAGACATGATGCAAAGCACGAATATTTTTAAAATTTTGCATATGTTGAATTATGCTTAGAGCCTTTTGCTTAAAACATTAATATGTCTATTGGGATAAATGTTTGGTGTATGTGTTTCTTATGTAAATAATATAACAGTTATTGATTGTAGTTTCTAAAGGGCTTTATAAACAAAAGTAGGGTCACTGTCTGATAAGTTAATTTTATTCCAGTTAATTCTTTATGTTTATGTCTCTGTATCAGTTCGTAAAGGCTATCTTTCTCATGGGTAACCTTTATTCCGTTTTTACCAGTTACCCAGCTATTTCTCTACCAATACATTTAGATTGTTTTAAGCAACAGTGCTGCTGTAAACATCTTTTTACCATCTTTTAATATCTCTTCATTCATGTAAGAGTATTTCAGTAAGTCATATTCTAAATGGAATTATATTATTAAAGGATATATACATTTGTTGTTGTTCAGTCACTAAGTCATGTCCGACTCTTTGCGATCCCACGGACAGTAGCACGCTAGTCTGTGCTCCCCTATCTCCCGGAGTTTGCTCAAATTCATGTCCATTGAGTTGGTGATGCTGTCTCACCATCTCATCCTCTGTCAGCCACTTTTCCTCTTACCTTCAATCTTTCCCAGCATCAGGGTCTTTTCCAATAAATCAGCTCTTCACATCAGGTGACCAAAGTATTGGAGCTTTAGCAACAGTCCATCCAATGAATATTCAGGATTGATTGCCTTTAGGATTTACTGGTTTGATCTCCTTGCTGTCCAAGGGATCCTCAAGAGTCTTCTCTCGCACCACAATTTGAAAGGATCAGTTCTTCAGTGCTCAGCCTTCTTTATGGTCCGACTGTCACATCTGTACATGACTACTGGAAAAACCATAACTTTGACTATATGGACCCTTGTCAGCAAAGTGATGTGTCTAGTTTTTAATATGCTGTCTAGGTTTGTCATAATTTTCCTTCCAAGGAGCAAACAACTTATAATTTCATGGCTGCAGTCACTGTCTGCAGTGATTTTGGAACCCACGAAAATAAAAGCTATCATTGCTTCCACATTTTCCCCTTCTATTTGCCACAAATTGATGGAACCAGATGCCATGATTTTTTTTTTTCTTTTTTTTTTTTTAAGTTTAAAGCCAGGTTTTTCACTCTCCTGTTTCACCCTCATCAAGAGGCTCTTTAGTTCCTCTTCACTTTTGGTCATCAGAGTATATCTGCATAAATATCGCCAGATTACTCTTCTAAAAAATTGAACCAGTGTATCCATCTGCTAGCAGTGTCCAAAAGTACTCTCAACCCTAGTTGTAATCAATCTTTTAATTTTTTGGACATTCAGATAAGGAGAAAATGATATCTTACTGTTTAAATTTTTATTTCTTAGGCCCTAGTGAGGTTGAATATGAGTCTCAAGACAAAATATAGAGATGGATGTTGTCATTTCACTCCAAAGTAGTTTTAAACTTATTTTTCAATATTTACTAACTCTTAAAAATAGTCAGTTTTAAGATGTCTTAGATTTATTCTGTTGTTCTCTGTATTAAGTTGTCAATTATAATTTCTTAGCAAGATTTTCTAGTCTGACAGTTAGGTTTAAAAGCATATTTTTTTAACTTCTTTCTTCCAAAGAGCTCTTAGAAACATGGTCTAATTTGTCTGTGATAACAGAAGAGGCTCAGACATTGTCATGAGCAGTTTTTTTTTAAATAGGAAAGCACAGTACAGAACAGTTAAGAATGGTTTGATAAAGGTTATGTAATTAGCTGTGATTAAATCTGTAGCTCATTCTGCTTAACTTCTTAATTTTGGCCTCTAATGTATGTTAAACTCCTTATCTAAAATGGCCTTGAGGATTAATAACCCCAGTTGTTATACATTTTTAAGATAGGGTTAGACTGTGGCTGGCTTCAGAGAAGGCATCACCTTTTACCCTAAATCTGCAAAGGTCTGCCATTGTGTTTTGTTTTGTTTTTTTAAATTACATGGTGAAAGTTCTGGACATGAATTGGTCTTTTCTCAGCCTGCCCACCTGGTATAGGAGTCCCTTGGAGCCCCATCAGACCTGAGCTTTACTGACTTTTTGTTTTTGTCTGCACTAGGTCTTCGTTGCTGCAAGCAGGCTTTCTCTAGTTGTGAGATGGTGGGCAACTCTCTAGTTACAGCACTCAGGCTCCTCTTTGCAGTGTCTTCTCGTATTGTGGAACGTAGGCCCTAGGCACACAAGCTTCAGCAGTTGCAGCAACTTCGGCTCAGTAGTTGTGACTCGTGGATTCTAGACCTCAGGCTCCATAGTTGTGGCTCATGGGCATAGTGGTATCTTTCTGGACCAAGAATTGAACCCATGTGCCCTACATTGGCAGGCAAATTCCTACCCACATTACCACCACAGAGGTCCTCCACTGACTTTACTGAAGAAACTTAAAAGTCCTTCCATTCTCCCAGAAGGTCTTCATGAGGATTCACTTGGAAGCAGTTTCTTTCTGGCCCCAGATTGCTATAACTGTTCAGCTAATCCCACACTTGCTTTAAATCTGTCTTGAAACCTGGCCCTCCACAGAAAATATTGTTTCCCCTGCAGCCTTCTCAAATTCTTGCTGCTTATTCTTTCTTGACCCACATACCTCTGAATTAAGCTGATTAAGATCAAGCTCTTTCTCACTGGCTGTTGTTGTTGTTTGGTCACTAAGTCATGTCCGACTGTTTGTGACCCATGAGCTGCAGCATGCTGGGCTTCCCTGTCCTTCACCATCTCCCGGAGTTTGCTCAAACTCATGTCCATTGAATCAGTGATGTTATTGATCCATCTCATCCTCTGCCACCCCCTTCTCTTGCCCTCATTTCCAAGCTTCAAGGGCTTTTCTAATGAGTCACTGGCTGCTACTATTTCTAAATCATTTCTCCTCCCTCTTTGTGTCTATATCTTTGATTTATTTAAGGCTGAGACCCTCTGACCATGATGTTCTGCAGCCTTCTCTGTCATTTTCACCTTCCCACCTACTGGGATTTATGAAGCCCTGGCATTGTAGATGCCCTAACCTCTTATAAATTAAGGAGGTCAAGAAACTTCCATCTTTACTTTTTACATCCCTATTGCCATTCCAGGATCTGTGTAATACCAGAGTACCAGTTAAATGTATAAAGATAATTATTAATGAAAACTCATGAGTCATATTCATATTCTTGCTATAACTCCTGAATTCTGCTCGGAAAGCTCTTCAGTTCAGTTCAGTCACCCTGTTGTATCCGACTCTTTGTGACCCCGTGAGCTGCAGCACTCCAGGCCTCGCTGTCCATCACCAAATCCCGGGGTTTACTCAAACTCATGTCCATTGAGTCGGTGATGCCATCCAACCATCTCATCTTCTGTTGTCCCCTTCTCCTCCTGCCCTCAATCTTTCCCAGCATCAGGGTCTTTTCAAATGAGTCAGCTCTTCACATCAGGTGGCCAAAGTATTGGAGTTTCAACATCAGTCCTTCCAATGAACACTCAGGACTGATCTCCTTTAGGATGGACTGGTTGGATCTCATTGCAGTCCAAGAAACTCCCAAGAGTGTTCTCCAACACCACAGTTCAAAAGCATCAGTTCTTGGCTCAGCTTTCTTTATAGTCCAACTCTCACATCCATACGTGACTACTGGGAAAACCACAGCCTTGACTAGACAGACCTTTGTTGGCAAAGTCATGTCTCCGCTTTTTAACATGCTGTCTGAAAGTGAAAGTGAAGTCACTCAGTCGTGTCCGACTCTTTGTGACCCCGGGGACCCACCAGGCTCCTCCGTCCATGGGATTCTTCGAGGTTGGTCATAACTTTCCTTCCAAAGAATAAGCATCTTTGATTTCATGGCTGCAGTCACCATCTGCAGTGATTTTGGAAAAGCTCTTCACTTGTTAACTATTGTATAAAAGTATTGGTGTGAACTTCCAGAGTTGTACAATGTAAAGGGTAGAAAGATGGCTCAAGGCTTCAGAAGTCAGCCTACATTGTTGGTTCCTTACAAAGGAGGAGAATCTGAAGTGTAGAAAGAATCTAAATTTTGAATCTACCAGATTCTCTCTTCTTGCTGATAGCTTGTACATAAAAAGAGAATTTAAAACTGTCTATATACATTGTAAAGTTAGGCTTATGCTGAAGGTCTGAAAATTTAAAATGATGCCGTACTTCATGAAAGTACATGGAGAAGAATTCACTTAATGACAGTCACACGTTGTCAATTTAACTCCTCAGAATATCCTCTCAAGTTTCTGTCTTAAAAGTGCATATATTGTGGATATAATAAACACCTTTGATAATAAACTTATTTAAAATATCATTGATTCAGACAGTAAAGAATCTGCTGCTGTGTGG